ACATTGTAATGGGCATTGAAACAAACATTTAAAGACTGTTCTGTGCATATGTAACAAATGGTCCACTGACTTAATGTTTAAGAACCCATGTGCAGTTTATTCAAAAATAATCCCTAAATACAAGCAAATACAAAACAAAGACTTGACATGAACAGACTTGACTCACCGACAGCAGGTTACAACATCAATACTCAACAAGAGATAAAGGCTACATGAGGGCTATATATACACACCAAACAATCAGGGTCACATGACGAGAACCAACCAATGAGAGACAGGACACATGACTAAGACAACCAATGAGAACATGAACCAAAGAACCAATAGCAGGATAACATGAGGGTAAGGGAATCACATGACTAGACAGGGACCATGACTAAACTCAAAAATAAAAGACATGAAAACATGAACATGAAACAATACCCAAAAACCCCTGTTACAGCATAAAAGGAGAGCAGACAGGGACAAAGAGCGACTAATGCTGTGTTTTGATGTTGTTTCAATCAATGTTGCATTGTTACATCAAAGAATTTTGGTGCCACATGGTGACAGACAATAATCAATCAGCAGACAAAATCCCATGACTGAAGGTGCCAGGCTAACTGCAAAAATTATCCAAGTATTCTGAAAATGGGAATGTTTTTTAGCAAAACTGAAAAAAAAAAAATTTGTTTCATAATTCAAGTTTCCTTTCAAATGAACCAAAATATAAAGTCTCAAATAATATGAAGCTGTATGCACCAAAGACATTGAAAGGGACAATACTGAATATATAATTATCCTTGGTAAAAGAAAAAATGGCAGTTTTTTGCAAATGGCAGTTTTCACTTAAAGCTAAGCCTAACACCAAAACAATTGCATTGCAAAACTGATATGAAGAGATACCACGCATAAATGTTTTGTCACATAAATTCCAAAGATAGCTACCAGTCAGAAAACTGTAAATTACCTCTATGGATCTTCAAAACGTCTGTAGCTAAAGTTAACCCTAACATATCAACCAATAAACACACATGCCTAAATACACGTCCCTTATTAACATTACACAATTATGGTTAATTTGACACAACAGTACTCAAATTGCTACATATCTACATTTGTTTTAAGATTTTTCTTTAAATGAACTACACCGTCTACATAGACTACCCTACAGCCACAGCCATATCACCCTGCAGCCCAAGACTGGTTTCCCACTGAAGCTAAGCAGGGTTGAGCCTGGTCAGTACCTGGATGGGAGACCTCCTGGGAAAACTAGGTTGCTGTTGGAAGAGGTGTTAGTGAGGCCAGCAGGGGGTGCTCACCCTGTGGTCTGCGTGGGTCCTAACGCCCCAGTATAGTGACGGGGACACTATACTGTCAAAAAGCACCGTCTTCCGGATGAGACGTTAAAAACCGAGGTCCTGACTCTCTGTGGTCATTAAAAATCCCATGGCACTTCTCGTAAAGAGCAGGGGTGTAACCCCGGTGTCCTGGCCAAATTGCCCCCCTGGCCTTTGTCAATCATGGCCTCCTAATAATCCCCAACCACTTGATTGGCTCTATGACTCTCTCTCCTCTCCACCTGTAGGTGGTGTGTGGTGAGCACACTGGCGCCACTGTCCTGTGGCTGCCGTCGCATCATCCAAGTGGATGCTGCACACTGGTGGTGGTTGAGCAGAGCCCCCCATATGATTGTAAAGCACTTTGGGTGTACAACAATACACAATAAAGCGCTATATAAATGCATCATTCATTAATTCATACATTAATAAGAAAGACAGCACTTCTAGCCCTCTGATATTGTTCATTTTGCAGTCAAAAGTGAACGAACACCTGAAATGTAACTTTTTTTTATTTTCATTCAAATCAATGTAATATATTTTTGTTCAATAATATATTTTCTTTTTTTATTTTGTATTTTGAGAGAATTTAATGATACAAATTAATATTTATGCAATAATTATGATAATTATTTCCATTAAAAATAATACAATTGTTTTTCTAATATTTTATATTAGTTTTCAATTAGGGAAGTATTTCATGTTAAAATACTGTAGAGACAATTTGAAGGCAGATTAGTGCCATCTGGTGGGAGTAAAAAAAGAAAAACATGCAATTCCATGGTTTAGCCACTAGATTCCTATATAGCTCTATATAAAATGCTGATAAATACTCTAGTTGTTTATAGACATAAATACTTATTTTTATTAAGTTGTGGATTTGGAAATATATTTAGGCATTCTTAGACAACTTTTTGTAAATGTTTAGATTTGTTTTGTTTGAAATGTCAGGTTTTGCATAAATGTTTCTATAGTTAAACCTCAACAGAGAAAGACATTTTATTACACATAACATCAAAATTTAAAACAATTAAAATGTCACAAAAATGAACAGGAATACTAGAGATTAATCAATCTGATTTCAACTTCTTATTTGAGTCTTCTGGCTCAATTATGCCATATTGTTACAGCCACATCAGTTCATTTGAGTGTGTTTAATAGTGTGTTTTGTTTGTGTGTGTGTGTGTGTGTGTGTGTGTCTGTGAGTGAGTGTGTGTAAGTGAGTGTATGTTTGAGTGTGTGTGTCTGTTTTGTACTTTTGATGTTTTAGAGTGTAACCCCTTCCTTGGTGTCTGTGTTTTTACTGCATTGTGGCTGAATTATTAATTTTGTTTCACGCATTTGCAAAAACATGCTTTGTGTTACACTTACACTAGTTCATATATGTGTGTCTGTGTCTGTTTTGCACTCTTGATATTTTAGAGTGTCACACTGTATACCAAAAATGCGTATTTCCCATTCATTTCCAATAGCGGTCATTTTTGACCGTGTGGAGACAAGTCTGATTACATGCAGGATGTTAAAGAATTGGCTGTCTGGTGCAATCACAACAACCTGGAGCTCAACACGCTCAAAACATTGGAGATAACAGTCGACTTAAGGAGAAACCCCCCTGCACTCTCCCCACTCACCATCATGAGCAGCACTGTGGCTGCAGTAGTCATTCAGGTTTCTGGGCAGCACCATCTCTCAGGACCTGAAGTGGGACATTCACATAGACTCCATTGCTAAAAAAGCCCAGCAGAGGTTGTACTTCCTTCGCCAGCTGAGGAAATTCAACCTGCCACAGGAGCTGCTGAAACAGTTCTACTTTTTTTTTAAACAAAACAGTTTTGTTTCAGCCACCAAATCAGACATTAAAGGGGTCATATGATGTTGCTAAAAAGAACATTATTTTGTGTATTTGGTGTAATGAAATGTGTTTATGCAGTTTAAGGTTAAAAAAACACATTATTTTCCCCCCACTTACAGTCTGTGAGTCAGAACAGCCGGCATTGTAGTCTACTCTTCCAGGATCAGGAAACAGTCCTCCATAAAATGTGCTGCACACATCTGAATATTTGGGTTGAACTGTTCTGGAACAGTGTTGTAAATACAACTTAACCACTGATTTCTAGTCGTGTCCTCTTTTGGAAGGCCAAACAAAGTAGTTTCGCTTTCACAATGAAACACACAGCATCACACACGGCGGGCTTGAGAACGGTGCGGCCGGCGGATTCGACGAAGGAGCGGCCGGCGGGGCTGCAACCACATGTGACGACCCCAGCTGGACTCCGCTTCGTCCATGGTGAAAGCATGACGAAGCGGATATCGTCCTCTTTTGGAAAGCCAAACAAAGTAGTTTTGCTTTCACAACGAAACACACAGAACACAAACACACACGCGTCTTCACGACATGGCGGCAGCAACAATACTACAGAGAGAATAAAAGTTAGGCCTTCTTTCTTTGAGCGAACATTTGGGCGGAGTTATGCAAATCTTCCCACATCATGATGTAGATATGTGGGGGCGTGTTAGAACAAGCCGTTTTAGGTAGGTGTGGTTGACTCAACTTTTATAAAGAATATCTCTTTGGATTTGAGACTTTAGTCTTTGCAACTTTACAGATCTTCTTTATGCACCGAGAGCTTGTAACACTCCAAAGAGAAAGGAAATATTGAAATCGCATCATATGACCCCTTTAAGAGAGTACAACGGACAGTCCTGCTGAGAGGACTATTGGTTCCTCCCTGTCCAACCGCAAAGATCTTTACACCTCCAGATTGAGGAAAAGGGCTGGTAAAATCACTTTGGACCCCTCACACCCAGCACACTCTCTCTTCGAACTGTTGCCTTCTGGTCGGCGCTACAGAGCATTGACCACCAGAATAGCCAGACATAAGAACAGTTTTTTTCCCCGCAGGCCATATTCAGCCTGAACAATTAAAACGTTCATAACTACACACTGTCCATCATAACTGACACTTTTATACATAGTATCTGGAAATTCTATATTGTAAACTACATAAACGGTACACTTGTAAATAACATATCTGTACATTCATTTAAACAATTAAATGTTTTTCTCTATATATTTCTATTTCAGTACATAGTGCATTATTTTTTTCAGTTTTTCTTATATTAGTGTTATTTCATCTTTACTGTGTAATTCTATGTAGACCTATGTCTGCACTGCAATATCATGTATGTTTGCACTATGTGTGTACTTTCTTCTGCACTGGAAGCTCCTGTCGCCAAGTCAAATTCCTTGTGTGTAGACATACTTGGTAATAAAGCTCCTTCTGATTTTGATTCTGAATAACACGACCATCTTTTTCGAATCAAGTCCACTAAATTATTATTATTTTTATTTTTTTGTGGTTCAAATCGCGACTATAGGCTACCATAAAAGTCATCGAGTACCATTCCGATGAAGTAGCGATTTTTAAAATTTCAAAACATTTTTTTTTTCCGGTCTAAAATGACCGAGCAACACCAGAGGACCAGAAGCTCCTCATCATAAACTGATTCCTGTCGCTACCTCCTTAATTGTACAGATTCGTGATTTGATTGGTTCCTCGCAGACAGTCTCATCCTCTAGTCAGGTGACCGTGTGCTCGCTGTACCAGGGATGGATTGGGTGACTAGGAAACGGTTAGAGATCTCATGTGTGAAAGAAATTCATCCTTACAGTATGGGTAAAATTAACCAGGAAAGCTACAAAATACATTCATAATGGATGAGCCAAATATCCTGAGGCGGCGTGGTCTGCAGGTAAGAGTCCGTGAGTGATACAGACAGTAGTATTATTCATTTTAAAGATATAGGCTTGATCCCTATTCATTTAACAACATACATTCTCTGGTTCATCAGTATCAGTATGTTTTATTATATATGTGTAAAGCGATCGTTGCATCTTTGCAATCACTTATATATCACACTTCTCGCATCCGTTTGTTTACGTACATTGAACTGAGAATCGTATAGTGTTGGAAATGGCTTGTTTTGACGTGGGGAGTGTTGAAAATAAAGGGGTTTTGGATTATATACGTTGTAAATATGCAATATAACATTAATTGAATATATGGTTTTATACTATCGACATTACAAAAAAACAACAGCTGTTGATTTATGCACGTTTCGATGAAGTAGACGTTTCATTAGCAGTTGCCATGGTGATTACAGCATTTGATATGCTCCGATTTATGATGGAAAGGCTTGCCTTTACTTATTTTTGCACTACCCTCCCGAAGAAATTGTGTTTATTAATCTATGTCTAAATTGATTTTTTTCCCCCACTAAAATTGTTTTGTGCTATATTTGTCTGAAAACCAGAATGACAGTAAAAATGTAGAGGAGGCGGATGAGTGAATGAATCAAAACATATTTTAAGTATGTAATTCTGTTTTTTAAGCCATGTGTCCAAAAATTATGATATAGTAACAATGTTTGCCTGTTACAAATGACCAATTAACTGTGTTAATTTGTCCAAAAACTGTGTAAATTAATGTCAAAAGCTAAACCTGACAAAATCTCCCAACATCCTTTTAAGGAATTTCTCATTTGTTAAAACAGTATAAAATAAATAAATAAAGTTATTTTGCAGAAAGTGTAGAAAGATTCCTGGGTTTTAGGATTAGGATTATGTGGGATATAGTATTGTTAGGTTAAAGTATTTAGAACTAGCTCAATATAAAAACAAGAAGTCTATACGATGTCCCCATTATAGCTAAGTCTATATGTCTAATTTTGTGTTTTTGTGGGTGCAGTTGCAACCTTCCCTGTCTGGTCAGCATGATACTTTGTATTCATTATCATGAATGAACGAAAATAGCATTCATTATTATTATGAATGAATGAAAATAACATTAGAAGCCAGACATGGAGACTTTCCTCATGTATGAATCCTTTACATTACACAGAGAATTACAACATCTACATCTACAACATTTCACTTCTGTAGTTAATTTCAAAATGGTAAAAGTGACGGTGTTTCAGCTCACCCCATTTACAACACCCCCTGCAGTAAGTTATGAGTAAATGGGCTGTCTGATATTCTGTCCACACATGTCAGGTCTAACCTGTTACACAGAGGTAAACCTGAATTTCTGTCTCTTGCTGTTGCATCATCCACAACTGCATGTGCGTAAGTGTGTGATTGTGCAAAACAGAACATAGTGACACAAAGGTTATGGGGTTTGACCTATGTCAGATGACATAGCACTTATGTTTTAGAGTTTTATTAGAGTTTGACACATATCATTATGTAATACCAGTATTATATCTGTTGACTATGGCACAGGAGATGGATTTTTTTTTTTATGAAGCTCAACTTAAGTTCAGTGCACTTCTGGGCTTTACTTTAGCAAAAACCAAGAACTGTGAAATAAATAAAGATATATTGTTGCTTTTTAATAAAACACATCTTTCAGAAAGAGTAGCTTAGTTCTTTAAAAAAAATCCTTGAGGAACGGTTAGGCACAGAACGAGTCGAGACTAAACAAGACAACCTTTGTTATTGGTCATCTACAAGACATTCATTCAAAGCGACAAAGTACGCTACATTGACAGTCCACTTGGAACACGACAGCCTAGTAAAAGCCAAAGCTGGCCCTGTAAAAAACAAAATGAGCAGACACAAACATCTACAACTTCTGAGGGCTGGCAAGTTTATATCCAAAAGCAGAAGGGTATAAGCAGTTTCCATTTGGATCTCAGTCATGTATTTATTAATGTGATAGTCATTACCCCATCCCAAATGGTTTTATGGAAATGGTTTTGCTTTTGGCTTGAGCATTATTTGTAATGGAGCTGAAGAAGCAAGGGATGACATATGTATGTCTCCACAAAAGCACTTACGCTTTATATGCATATATGGCATTCCTTCAGGAGTTTTAAGATAATACACTCCAGCCCCCCAACTAATGAAGTATTCATTTGGCCTCATACTTTCTGATTAGTCTTTCAGATGTCCATCCAAATATTCAGTGGCCTGAGCCCACTGACAGTGATTCTCCAGCCAAAAAGGGACAATGAGACATTGAAAAGCTTCAGTTTTCAGGACTGGCTAGGAACTTGGCAACTACCAAGGGATTTTGTGAGGTTATAGCGTAATTTGATTATGTTAATTATGAAGTAGGACCTTAAAGCTTTAGAAGCATTAAATCAAGAGTCAGTGATAAAACTGGATCCAGAAATACAAAGCCAAACTTGCTCTATTTTCATTAGCTGTGTAACATTATGTGGACTACAGTTTAGTTTGAGTGTGTTGAACTGAAAAATGTGAACGCTTGCCTTGTATAAGACAAACCTTGCATCTCCCTCAGTATTGAGCTTTAAGTGGATTTGAAGATTTGTTTCTGGTTCAGAACTGTAGGTTTTAAAGAACTGAAAGGCATTGTCACAAAGATAAGAAGTGTAGTCTTTAAAATTCAATATTTGACTATTGTTGTGCGAGTAAGATCATGGCCTAATTAACCCCAGCTTATTTGATTCTCTTGAAATCCAAGGCCCCTCTTACTCTTGCTTTTTATTTTCATGCAATATTAAATGCAATATTTGTGGTTCCATTAAAACACACTTGGTAGATGCTTTGATAAAACATAACTCAGGCCATTCGTGTCCGTAAGTGTATTATGTATGTTACACGTGTCTTCAGTTATTTAAATTAACGCAGTCTTTATTACTTTCCAGAAGGAACTGAGCCTTCCACGAAGAGGAAATATGTGAGTAGGCTTCTTTCTCATATATAATATTTTGTCACTGTCATTTTTAGCTTTCATTTAGGTTGTTTTGTGTTCATATACTTTCATTCGTTCCCTTCACTTTTGACAATTCTAGTATTTATGTTGCATTAATATAAAAAAAAGTCAAAAAGTCTGCATTGAAAAATTTAAATTCATTTAAAAAGTATGCATGTAAAGCAGATTAAATTCATGTTTGCATACCTAATATATTTGATATCATAATTAAAAAGTTACATAAAAAACTCTTGACATTTCTGGCATTTATAATTAATAATGTATTAATATATGTATTCAAAATAAAGGCATTTTTAAGTTTTAAGCATTATAAAAAATAATTTGTCAGAATAAAACTGTAATAACAGGACATGAGTTATTTATCTGTCTGCAACATCCTAATTTTTTACATTTTCAAATTTTTTGGTAATATGAAATGTTTTTATCGATCAGTATTATTCGATTATTTACCAACCTATTTAATATTAGGCTTACATCCATACAGTATTCATTAGCATTGGGGCATGAATTAATTTACTATGTCACACGCTCATATGAATATTAGTCTTAAAGGGGTGATATGATGCTGCTAAAAAGAACATTATTTTGTGTATTTGGTGTAATGAAATGTGTTTATGCGGTTTAAAGTAAAAAAAACACATTATTTTCCACATATTGTACATTATTGTTTCTCCTCTATGCCCCGCCTTTTTGAAACGCGTCGATTTTTACAAAGCTCATCGGTCTGAAAAAGCGAGGTGTGCTGTGATTGGCCAGCTATCCAATGCGTTGTGATTGGCCGAATACCTCAAGCGTGAGACGGAAATGTTACGCCCCTCACATACTGTTGATGCCGTGTCCCGGCCACAGCGACAAGGCAAAAATATTAAAACCCATTACAAACGAGACATTTGTTGCATCCAGTGGGGACATAATTACTGATTATAATGACTTATACTGTCTTTTTACGCGTTGCGTTGCAT